AGACAGCCCTCAGAATGGGAAAATATTTTTGTAAACTATGCGTCAGATAAGGGACTGATAACCTGAATTCACAAGGAACTCAAGCAGATGCTCCGAAAAAAGTTGATCATTCCTATTAAAAGATGGGAGAATGAGTTGGAAAAAAACAGTCTCTAAAGATGACATACAAATAGCTAAAAGGCATATGAAAAAATGCTCAACATCCCTTAATGTAAGCCAAATGTAGATCAAAACAACAATGAGATACCACCTAACCCCAATCAGAATGACTAAGATAAAAAAACAAAAAAACAAAAACCAGTGAGTGCTGGCAGGGGTGTAGTGAAAGGGGAACTCTCTTACACTGCTAGTGGGAATGTAAATTGTTTCAGCCACTGTGGAGAACAATTTGGAGATTCCTCAAAAATCTACAAATAGAACTACCATATGATCCAGCAATCCCACTCCTTAGTATCTACCTAAAAGACATAAGAATACTTAATTGGAAAAGTGCTTGCACATTGATGTTTATTGCGGCACTATTCACAATTGCTAAGTCATAGAAACAACCCAAATGCCCACGAACAGATGAGTGGATAGAAAAACTGGGACATATACTTAATGGAATACTATTTAGCCATAAAAAACTACAGAACCCCAGCTTTTGACAGGAAGTGGATGAATATGGAAGATTTACTGCTGAGTGAAGCAAGCCAGGCTATGAAGGAGAGGCATTGTATGTCCCCACTTAATATATACCGAGTGTCCGCACTCTGTGACTGAAACTAATTGACTAAAGGATATAGAAACACAGTATATAATTGTAAATACCAGATATAGATATAGTGTGTGTGAAAGAGGAGGGTCTGAAGAAGGACATTTAGAAGAAAAATAGGGAAGCAAAGCATTAAAGGCACAAAGAAATGTGGTATTATCTGTTGTAGATATTTTGTAGTTTTATCAACTGTACTAGGGAGAAATGTTCACCTGTTGAAATATCCATTTTGTAAGCCAAATAATAATGTGATTGAATGTATAAAAGAAAATGAAATGAAAAAAAAGTTCATGTAATGTGCATATTATATTTAAAAAAGACAACTATGCATAGATTTCAAAATGTGTTTGCATAAAAATAAACTTTTTATTTTATAATTTCTGATTTACATTTAATTGTACATCTTTGTAGGGTACAACATGGATTTTTTTTCAAAGCATGCATGCATTGTGCAATCATCAAACCAAGGATAGTACCATATTCATCATTTTCAACAAAGAACATCACATAATGATGTGTACCATTAATTGTATAAGATTAGCAATGTGTGTTTTATTTTTCCACTCAGTTGTGCTATGCTTTTCCAAAACCCATTTGCCCCATGTATCTGCATTCCTGTATCTGGTTAACACCTTTTTTCTGATCTCTTCCTGTCTCCATTTCCTACCCCCTAAGCAGTCTCTGGTATCCACAGTTGTCTTCTGTACTTCTGTGTCTTCATAGCTTTCCATTTCTGCCATAGAGTGTAGACACTGGGTATATACTGAGTGAGAATATACAGTGTTTATCTCTCATAGTCTGGCTTATTTCATTAGCATTACAGCTTCCAGATTCAACCACTTTGTATTGAATGACAGGATCTCATTGTTCTTTATGGCTGAGTAGTATTCACTTGTGTATATGAGCCACATTTTTAAATCCAGTCATCAATCATTGACATTTAGGTTGATTCTATGTCTTGGCCATTGTAAATAATGCTGCAATAAATATCGATGTGTAAGTGTCTTTCTGACTGATTTCTCATCCGTTAGTAAGTATCCAAGAATGGGATTACTGGGTCATAAGGTAAAATTTGTAAAATTTCAAGGAACCTCCATATTGTTTTCCACGGCTGTGTTAATTTACATTCCCACCAACAATATAGAAGGGTTCTCTTTCACCTGCAGAAAACTAATAATCCAGTTATAAAATGAGCAGTTGAACTCATACTTTCATCAGCTTTTTGAAGTCTTCTGTTAGTGAGAGGAACAGTGGATCTGTTACATCAGGTTATTTCAGAGGTCAAAGGTATTTTGCAGGTATGCCTATGTAAGAGGAATTTTGTCAGTGAAATAAAAACAGAGACATAAGGACTACAAAGTTAGCATTGGTTACATTTTTAAAATACCTTAAATGACTGATACAAAGGAGAGATTCTGTATAACTTATGAGCAGTTTCCAAACCAGTAAAGACCAAAAGTATGATATATAACAAAGTAGAATAAACTTTCACTGTTGTAAGTTTCTGAGCAAGTACTTAAAAAATTGAATCATTTTCTTCTTTTTTTTTTTTTTTTGAAGAGGTTTTTGCTATAGGGTGTGTGCGCTCACCAGACAGACAGAGACAGAGAGACAGAAAGCGAGAAATCACCCCCCAGAGGGGATGGTCACGCTGCAATCCCTTCTCCTCCATTCTCCTCTCAGGATCTTGGGCACGCACGCGCACGCGCCCGGCGTGAGTTTTAAGCCACCGGGTCCGGGATGCGAACCGCGGTCGACTACGTGGTAGTCCAGCGACAGAGCCGTTACGCTAACTGCTGGTTCCCAAAAATTGAATCATTTTCTGTATCACCTATTTTTTATTGTTCATTTCAGAGCATACCTTTTCATTTTTTTTCATTACCTGAGTAAAACATGTTCATTTTAAGCAATATCAAAAATTACAGAATTAAGTGGTAGGTTCCCTGAAATCCCACCTTGCCCCCTCCATCGCCTCTTACCTGGACAACGACTCTAAGATATTCTGTTCTATTTTGCTTTTAAGCATTTACTAACACATAATATATGCACAGTACTCTCATGTGTGTGTGCATGCACAAACACAAGGATCCTGCAACACATTATTTTGTAACTGTATTTCACATCATTAATATATTCTGAACATCTTTCCATTTCAGTACATGTTGATATACTTCATTCTTTTCAGCACCTGTATTACATTTCATTACATTGGGAAACAAAAATTTATTTTTATCTATCCCTTTTGGTGGATATTTAAGTCGTTTTTCTTCTGCTATTGTAAACAATCTTTGTATAAATATTCATGGGATTTATTTTAACAAAATCTAGTGGTATTTTTTTTTTAAGTTCTCATCTCTTATAATGACTTTCATTTGTCTGTGTTAAAGAGTGAAGAATATGTTGCTTAAGTCCAACTGTGTGCTGGAAGCTTTTGGAAATGCCAAAACCAACCGTAATGACAACTCAAGCAGGTTTGGAAAATACATGGATATCAACTTTGATTTCAAGGGGGATCCTATTGGTGGACATATCAATAACTACTTATTAGAGAAGGTAAAATGTGTGTAATTTCTGAGGTTAATGTTTATAAATGTTGAGTATTTTAAAACAATATTTGGTTATATTTATATAGTTTGAGTACTTCAAAGTTGCTTTCCTGTTCTTCCTCACTGATTAGTTTTCTAATATATTCTCCCTTTGTGTTCTCTTATTAGCACTTACAGTATCAAGTAAGAAGTTATGGACTTTATTGGTACAAATTTAAGCGTGGGGGTGTGGAGGGAGGGCTACGAGTGTATGCCAACTTCTGGGTAAGGTTTAACTAGAACAACCCAGGATTAATTTGTTCTAGTCATTTTATGCAACACCATCCTCCATACATTTTAATTTTAATTAATTTGAAATCTCATTTTTTCTTATTTCTATTTGTTCACTGCTTTATAGTAACATACATTTCGTGAACCTACATCCTAATTATGAAATATACTATACTATACTATACTGGGTCAGTGAACACTTAGAATATGTTTGTATCTACGTATGTGAAGATTAAGCCCAATTTCTAGAAGATTCTCATAAAAACTTTCCTGCCAGAACTGCCAGAGAGGTTGTGTTTTAGTCTGCTTTTCTGTTGCTTATAACATACCACCACAGACTGGATTGTTTATAAAGAATAGAGGTTTATCGGGAACCAGCAGTTAGCGTAATGGCTATGTCGCTGGACTCCCACGTAGTCGACCGCGGTTCGTGTCCCGGACCCGGTGGCTTAAAACTCACGCCGGGCGCGTGTGCGTGCGTGCCCAGGATCCCGAGAGGAGAATGGAGGAGAAGGGATTGCGGCGTGACCATCCCCCCTGGGGGGTGATTTCTCGCTTTCTGTCTCTATGTCTCTCTCTGTCTGTCTGGCGAGCGCACGCGCCCTACAGTGAAAAATCTCTCCAAAAAAAAAAAAAAAAAAGAATAGAGGTTTATTCAGCTCATCACTTCAGAGGTCCAGGATCAAGGGGCTGTATCTGGGGAGGGTCTTCTTGCTGGGAGATCTCTCTACAGAGTCTCAAGGTAGCACAGAACATCACATGGCAGGAGATCAAGAGCAAGCGTGACTTAGTCTCTGTGTGGTCTCACTCCCTCTCAGTATTGATAAAGCCACCAGCATTCAATCATAAAGCCTCATCAGGGAGTCTCACCCTGATGACTTTATCTAACAACAATCACCTCCCAAAGTTCCCACCTCTTAATCCCACAGACAGGTTAAGTTTCTGCTCTTAATCACAACCAAATTTCAGCACATGAATTTTGGGGGGACACATTCAAACCAGAGCAGGTCATGTTCTAACTAATATTTTTTATCACTGGACCCAACTCCAAGAGAGTACACAGAGTTCATTCACCTGAGTTTTACAGTTGAGCTTGTACTTTACAAAGTACTTTGACTTGTACTTAGGTCTAAGCTGACATACTTTCTCAGTTAAGGGTTTCCAGCCCATCTAAATTAGTCCATATCATCCTTTATGGCAGTGTAATGCAATATAATCTTCACTTTTGTTTGTTATATTGAAGCCAGATTGTGAAGGAAATAAGTATTGTATCAGAGTTAAAAAAAGACAGAAAATGCCAGGTATTACCAAGTTTTTTCCCAAAAACATCTCTAGATAAACGTATATACACATTCAATCAAAAGAATCCCTTTGTATGAACACACACTTGGAGCTCCCTCTTTTTTTTTTTTTTTTGAGAGAGATTTCTGCTATAGGGGGCATATGCTCGCCAGAAAGACAGAGACATAGAGACAGAAAGCAAGAAATCACCCCCAAGGGGGTATGGCCATGCTGCAATCCCTTCTCCACTCTCCGCTGGGCATCTTGGGCACACACGCAAACATGCCCAGTGTGAGTTTAAGCCACCAGGTCTGGGGCTCACACTGCGGCCAACTACATGGTAATCCAGCAACATAGCCATTATGTTAACTGCTGATCCCTGGAGCTCTCTATTAGTAGCAGTTTTTTTGTTTTGTTTTGTTTTGTTTTTGGAGAAGTTTTTTGCTATAGGGCATGTGCTCTCACCAGAAAGACAGAGAGAGACAGAGACAGAAAGCGAGAAATCACCCCCCAGGGGGATGGCCATGCCACAATCCTTTCTCCTTCATTCTCCTCTCAGGATCTCGGGCATGCACGCACACACACGTCCAGCATGAGTTTAAGCCAACGGGTCCAGGACTCTAACCTCAGTCGACTACATGGGAGTCCAGCAACATAGCCATTACACTAACTGCTGGTCCCTAACAGCAGGTTTTTTTACAACCACTTCAGACAGCGGTCCCTGTGGAGTTAGTTACCTGCTCAATTAATTTCTATTACATGATATAAGGAATAGCTCTTTGAAATGCCAGCAGATCCTGGAGACAGAAATGTTGAGTATATTTCTCCAGAATTATTCCTTCCTATTCTCCTTGCTTTTAATCCCTACTCACCTCCATAATTAGGCGTCAGGCTAAAAATAAAAAATAAAATTAAAAAAAAAAAGTTTATTCTTCAGAAAGTTTAGGGACTTCTATTTGAAGCATTGAAAGAATTATCAAAACATTGCATAGGAAACTTGATAAAGAAGACCTAGTCCTAGGTGAGTAGTTTCCATTGGGTTCTTTAGGACATCTAAATGCACCATAGATAAAAAATTTCCTAAAGAAGAGATTTCCATTTTATTTTAGGGACACATTTTCAGATTAACCACTTAATGTGTTCTTTTGTAGTCTCGAGTAATTGTGCAACAACCAGGAGAAAGAAGCTTTCATTCTTTCTATCAGGTTAGTAATTTCCTGTTATTGCAGATAATTAATCATGTACTCAATTATACAGGAATAAATATTTCTATATTACTCTCTGTTCTATGCCTTCTTTACCTCTACTTGCCCATATTACATTGTGTGTATGCGCATGCATGTACATACCCTATGCAGCATGCTTCAGAGAGTGATGAGAATGGCCTTGTGAAGAGCTGGCACATGGTTAGCCAACCCCATGCCTGTCTTGGTTGCATTCTCCTATCTTGTTTTGCAATGTAGAGAATAGTTTACTGACCATGAAAGCTTTTGAAGTGGTACATTCTAAAGACGCTCAATTAATTTTGTTTTATTTTGAATTAAAGCTGTTCCCATATTTGGGAGTTCTAGAAATGGGAATACAAATTCAGTTTATTACGTTCATAGAGACCATACAGCAATATCATTACTTTTTTAAGACAACCAGGATTTATAAAATCAAGGTAGAATTATCTTTATCCCGAAAATTTGAATACCTCTTTTGGAGATTCTTTTAGAGTCTAAGGCAAAATCTTGTAAATAGCCCTCCTGTTGTCAGATTGTCACTCAGGGAACAAGTTTGATACCTTATTATAATTTTTTAAAAGTCCAACTTAATATAAACCAAAGCTAGTAAATTTAAGCAATGTTTTGAATTTTTAAGAAATAAAATTATAAATTAGTAAGATTGACTTTCACATATAAGCCGCCTCTAAAGGTAATTGAATAGTGGCGAAGTAGTCATTTCAGGGTAAAAGAGAAATGAAGATCCCTACTGATAATTCAGCCTCCAGCAAACAAGCTAGCGTGATGACTAGAAATCACCGCAGGACCACAAGAAATATGGGAAAGCAAGAAAATACCTCTCCTCCAAGGGAAAAGAAGAACTCCTCTTCATCCACAAGCAGCTCAATGGAAATCGTGGAAATGTCTGATAAAGAATTTAGAACATTCATAATGGCGAAGCTAACAGAGATGGAAGAAAAGAGAGACAATGAACTGCAGAAGAGAAAGGAGAAAGAAGTTAACGAGTTCCAGGAGGTGAGGAAATTCTTACAAGATCTAAAAGAGGAATTACATACTTTAAAAAAGAATCAAACAGAACTGTTAGAGATGAAGGCTATAGTACAGGAAGTCAAAATCTCCCTTGAAAGTATTAAAAGCAGACTAGATCATACAGAAAATAGAATCTCAGACATAGAAGAGAAAATTGCTGGCCTACTAAAATCCACCACGAAGACTGAGAAAAATGCCCCAAAATTTGAGAATAATATACTAGAAGTACTAGATACCATCAAAGGTCCAAATATCCAGATAATTGGCATTCCAGAAGGCTAAGAGACCCATAAGGGCATTGATAATCTATTCCATGAAATCCTGCAAGAAAACTTTCCAAACCTAGAGAGGCACTCAAAGATTCAGTCCCAAGAAATACAGTAGACCCCAAATAGAATCAACCCGAGAAGATCTTCTCCAAGACACATTATAGCCAGGTTGACCAAAACCACAGACAAAGACAAGATACTAAGATTGGCAAGAGAAAAACATCAAATTATCTACAAAGGATATCCCATTACGCTAACAGCAGACCTCTCATCGGAAACAATGCGAGCGAGGAAAGATTGGGAAAATATATTCAAAGTGTTAAAAGAGAGAAACAATTTCAGCCAAGAATACTGTACCCAGCAAGATTATCTTTCAGGTGGGAAGAAAAGACAAGAACATTCTCAGATAAACAAAACCTGAAAAAATTTACCAGCACTGGACCAGATCTCCAAGAAGTTCTCAAGGGTGTGCTATATCAGGACAATTAAGTACAGATACATGGAATTAAGAGTTCAAAAACTAAGAAAGTGGCCAACTTAATCATAGGGACAAGCCTGGAGTTGAATATTATATCCCAGAATTTAATCAGGAAAATTGAACCAGAACAGAAAATAAAAGTACATGAGTCTGATAGGTTCATGCACCTACCATTTGAACAGAATCCTAACCTGTTTCCTCGCTTTAAGCAAAGTTCCTTGGCATTTCGTTGATTTAAGTTAAAACTGGTTTTCTTAATAGTAACGAGTGAACTCACCATTGAAAGTAGTTAGAATATGTAAATAATTGTGTGATCAATACAATGTGGATGGGAAAGAAATAGAAGACAATTGTAGACACCAGAGATAGTGTGGGAAGAGGGTGGGAAAGGACAGAGGGTTAGAAAGAGGGGTAAAAATAATTCTAGGAACTAGAAATGGAAAATATTTTATAATACGCATGATTAAGTCACTATGCAGTATATTCTGGATGGAAGATCATATTTTGTATGCTGTGATGATGCTTAGGGAAATAATGTAAATTAAGTTACAAAAAAAAAAAGTTTCAGGAAAAAAAATCTATTCAATGACTGCAGTAAGATATATAGTCCCAGCTAGGTGCTACTTTATAGGATGCATAAAGTTAGACTTGTGTCCATGGAAATGTATATATCAGCTGTGTTTGCTATCAAAATATTTAGATTAATTAAGGTCTTTAGTAATTCAATAAAATGTGGGGGGAAACAGTATAGAAAGCAAACATAGAGACCAGAGACAGTGTGGGAGGAGAGTGGGAGATGGCAGAGGGTAAGAGACAGGGAATCAAGGATGGGAGAAATAAAGGAAAATATACAGAAAATAAGAAATGGAAAATTATTTGCTGACAATAACATGTTTGTTAATGTACTTAATTGAGACAATATACAGTGTCCTCTGGATGGAAAATCTCATTTTGTATGCTGTAATGATGTACAGTTAATAAATGCAAATAAATAAATTGAAGTTAAAAAAAAGAAAAAGAAAAATTATGGTGCATATATTCTATGGAATACTATTCAGCCATAAAA